GTGGCAATTGGATGCTGATTTGCACTTAGAATCAAAAGGTCTTGGTGCCACAATTAAAGAGAAAAGTGCATCAACTGAAAATAAAGCAAAGGCACTAATATTATTGAGGCATCATATTCATGATGATTTGAAAAAGGAATATCTGACAATCAAAGATCCTGCAGATCTTTGGGAAAAATTAAAAGACCGTTTCGATCATCAAAAAACGGTAATCCTCCCCAAGGCAAAATATGAGTGGATTCATCTCAGATTTCAAGATTTCAAAACTGTCAGTGAATATAACTCGGCAATGTACCGAATCACATCAGTTTTGAAATTATGTGGTGAAACAGTTAGCGAAAATGAGATGTTGGAAAAAACCTTTTCAACTATGCACGCCTCAAACATTATCCTCCAACAACAGTATCGAGAAAAGGGGTATACAAAATACTCAGAGTTTCTCTCATGTCTTCTCTTGGCCGAGCAAAATAATGAATTACTAATGAAAAATCATGCATCTCGGCCGACAGGTTCTGTACCATTTCCTGAAATAAATGTTACAGAAAATATATCATTCCCTGGAGAGAATGTTATATTTTATAATAACCGAGGACGTGGTTATTTTCGAGGTACATACATAAACGATACAACTATATATATGGCTTTTTATTCATAATCAACGCCATCTTCAGGATGCGCAAAACCATCAGCGAGGTCCATGTGTGTAAAATCTTTAGCACCACCAGCATCATCATCCGAATTGTTTATGACATGATTTGTCTCGACACCTTTCCCTTTCGCTTCTTTAATCGATTCTTTGGGACTTGGAGGAAAATAGTGCATCTTTTATAGCAAATTTTGTTCCTCCTGGCATTATGAAATCGGCTCTTCCGGAGCCTTCAATTATTTTTGCATTTCCAGATATAGTAATGACATTTCCTTTGTTTATTTTCAGACTAGAAAAATATTTCTTGTCTGTCAGTATTGTATGTGTTGTAGCACTATCTGCTAAACATATATCTCCTCCTCGATTTGCAGATTTAGCCATACTCATTATCTATTGAAGAACAAAACAACATAGTAAACATTAGAAAATATATATTAACATTATGACTAACAGAAATGATGACACAGATACATAACTATTTTACAAAATGTAGACGCATTATTTATGCATATATGGATTATTACGAGGTTGCCCTAAAAGTACAAAACAAGAAATTGTTGGTTTTGCAGATGCAGGATATTTATCTATGTGATTGAATCATATGCCACAGTAAACCAGAAGTTTACCGATATGTTCAAAGTTTGGCATGATCGATTGGGTCATCCTGGTGTCATTATGATGAGAAAGATTATCGAAAACTCTCATGGTCACCCATTGAAAAACCAGAAGATTTTTCAATCAGATGAGTTTTCTTGTGATGCATGTTCTAGAGGAAAATTAATAATCAGACCATCACAAGCTAAAATCGGGCATGAATTACCATCATTTCTAGAAAGGATTCATGGTGATATTTGTGGACCTATTCATCCACCATGCGGACCATTTCGATATTTTATGGTATTAATTGATGCTTCAAGCAGATGGTCGCATGTATGTCTTTTATCATCACGTAATCTGGCATTTGCCCGATTTTTAGCCCAAATAATTAAATTAAGGGCTCAGTTCTCGGAATACTCAATCAAGAAAGTGAGGCTTGATAATGCTGGAGAATTTACATCACAAGCATTTAATGATTACTGTGTAGCAATGGGTATTGATGTTGAACACCCAGTTGCACACGTTCATACACAGAATGGATTGGCAGAGTCATTAATCAAACGACTCCAGCTTATTGCTAGACCATTGATAATGAAAACGAAACTTCCCATTTCTGTGTGGGGTCATGCCATTTTGCATGCTGCAACATTAATTCGTATTAGACCAAGTGCATATCACAAGTATTCTCCATTGCAATTAGCATTTGGTCAAGAACCTAATATATCGCATCTCAGAATATTCGGATGCGCAGTATATGTACCGATTTCCCCACCACAGCGTACAAAAATGGGACCACAAAGAAGGCTTGGAATATATGTTGGGTATGACTCACCATCCATTATACGATACCTTGAGCCAAAAACTGGAGATATTTTTACGGCTCGTTTTGCTGATTGTCAATTTAATGAGAATGAATTCCCACCATTAGGGGGAGAAAATGATAGAATGGCGGGAACTAAAAATGATCTTAATTGGTGTACACCATCATTGTCACATCTTGATCCCCCGGCAAAACAACGAGAACTGGAAGTTCAAAGGATCATACATTTACAAAACATTGCAAATCAGTTACCAGATGCTTTTGCAGATACAACTAAGGTAACAAGATCATATATAGATGCTGCGAATGTCCCAGCTCGAATCGAAATTCCGAAAGAACAAATGAAAGAAAATGTAATAAACGATTCTAAAGCACGCCTGAAGCGTGGACGACCTATTGGTTCTAAGGATAAAAATCCCCGAAAGAGCAAAGGGCCCAAGAAAAATGAAATGCTCGATTCGGAGGAACGCGTTCCAAATCAAAGAAATGAAGTACCTTATGATGATGGTATAAATACAGACAATGAAAATCATGAGATCTCAATTAATTATATCAGTAATGGTACATTATGGAGTCGAAAAGAAATCAAAGAGATTGATGATATATTCTCTTATAATGTATCAAAGGAAATTGATGAAAATGAGGATCCAGAACCAAGATCCATTTCAGAGTGTCAAAAGAGACCAGATTGGATTAAATGGAGAGACGCAATACAGACTGAATTGGATTCGTTGAATAAGCGAAATGTATTCGGACACGTCATTATTAAACCGAAAGAGGTTACTCCTGTTGGATGTAAATGGGTATTTGTACGCAAAAGAAATGAGCACAATGAAATTGCTAGATATAAAGCTCGTCTTGTCGCACAAGGTTTCTCACAGAGACCAGGAGTTGATTATGAAGAAACTTATTCTCCTGTTATGGATGCGATTACATTTCGATACCTAATTAACCTTGTAGTTTCAAAGAACTTAGAAATGCGTCTCATGGATGTTGTTACTGCTTATTTATATGGGTCACTTGACACAAACATTTATATGAAAATCCCCGAAGGATTTAAAATGCCCGAAATATTGAAATCAAAACCACGAGAATTATGCGCTGTCAAGTTACAACGATCATTGTACGGGCTAAAACAATCAGGACGTATGTGGTATAAACGTCTGAGTGAACATTTAGTGAAAAATGGATATACAAATAATCCTATTTCACCATGTGTGTTTATAAAAAGGACGATGTCTGGATTTGTGATTATTGCTGTCTATGTTGATGATTTAAATATCATTGGAACTCCCCGTGAAATTCAGGATGCATCCACCTATTTAAAAGGAGAATTTGAGATGAAAGATCTCGGACAAACCAAGTTTTGTCTTGGATTACAAATAGAGCATTTGAATACGGGAATTTTTCTATATCAATCTAATTATACAAAAAGGGTACTAAAGCGGTTCAATATGGATAAGGCAAATCCCCTGAGTACTCCAATGATTAATAGATCATTGAATGTTGAAACAGATCCATTTCGCCCCCGTGAAGATGGTGAAGAGACACTTGGTCCTGAAGTACCATATTTAAGTTCAATAGGGGCTCTTATGTATCTTGCCAACTGTACTCGACCTGATGTAGCATTTGCTACTAATCTGTTAGCAAGATATAGTTCAGATCCTACACGAAGGCATTGGAATGGGATTAAGCACATTTTCCGTTATCTTCAAGGATCGATCGATTTGGGATTATTTTTCCCTAAAAGTACAAAACAAGAAATTGTTGGTTTTGCAGATGCAGGATATTTATCTGATCCACATAAGGGAAGATCACAAACGGGTTATATCTTCACAATCAATGGAACTGCATTAGCTTGGCGTTCTCAAAAGCAAACATTGGTTGCTACGTCATCTAATCACGCAGAAGTTATCGCGCTACATGAAGCAAGTCGGGAATGTGTCTGGCTTAGATCTTTGACTCAACATATCCAGACAGCTAGTGGATTATCAACCAATAAAGCTCCAATAATATTATTTGAAGATAACGCTGCATGCGTTGCACAGACTAAGGGAGGATATATTAAAAGTGATAGGACAAAACATATTCCTCCGAAGTTCTTTGCATACACCCAAGAGCTGGAAAAGAATAAGGAGATTGAAGTCAGATACATACGATCATGTGATAATGCAGCAGACCTATTCACAAAAGCTCTACCGACAACAATGTTCAAGAAACATGTACATAACATTGGAATGCGTCATCTACGAGACCTTTGATCCGATATACAGAGGGAGCGTGGAACTGCACTCTTTTTCCCTTATCAGGTTTTATCCCAAGGGGTTTTACTGATAAGGTTTTTAACGAGGCAGTATAAGACACGCAAATACATTTTGATTAACCGTAGCTCCAAGGGGGAGTGTTATAAATGAATAGTGAAGCTACGGTACTGTTCACGCAGCCGGACACTGTTCACGCAGCCGGGTACTGTTCACGCCGCCATACGGTTACTGTTTAGCCGCCATACGGTTACTATTCATAAATACGTATACGTGAACAGTAACTTCGGATTTTCTATAAATAGCTCATTTCCCTCCTTCATTTGTACACAATTCCAAGAAAAGAAAATTATTGAAATCTTGTTCCCGGGTCTCTCAAACGATCGATTTCGGTTTCTAGTTAACGATTTGATTCTCGGGTCTTCTATATTTCTTCGTTTTTCACAACAAATTCTATATATAGATGAGAATTGTAGTAAATTTAATAAAATTTATTTTACTCGTAATGACATAATTGGACCGTTTAACATGAAAAGCGTAAGAATCAGATCCAAGAGGATCACATGCTATTTTTTTTTAATATTTTACTTATATTGAATATTTCATTATTTTCTAATTAAAATCTATAAAAATTAATATTAAAAAAATTGAGAAAAAAAAAAGTGAACAGAGTACAGAAAAAATATGGGAATCCAATCAGCTTTTCTTGCGGACAGACAGATACCGTAGTAAACAAGGATGAAATTGGGAGCATTTCAAAAATTTAAAACCCTAAATCGAAACCAAATATCATCTTCTTACTTGTTGCGCAAGCAACGTTTTCTTCCCCATCCCACCCTTCCTGTAATCCCCAAACCATTAAAAAAAAAAAAAAAAAAAAACTGAAATCTCCACTTGTTGGACACAGATTGCACATTTTGGAAGCCCTCATTGGATTGGAACCTGTCATCAATGGCGTTTCTTCTTCAGCTCAATGATTCTCTGTACATATTACAGATTCCATTGAACAAGATTCCCCAGATCAGAACAGGACAAGACAAGACATGGGAGCAGATCGGATCTTTGTCTTGTCATGTCATGTCATATCTCGTAGTCTATATCTGTAACATTCTGCGAATCGGATCTCTTCACAAGCCTCTCTTTCTCGTCATACCGATCAAGATTCTCGCAAGGGGAAGGAAAGACGGTACCTATGACTCGGCCATGGACGTAAGCACACTGAAAAACGTGCTTTTTCTTGTACGTTATCCCCACCGACATGTCCCTGAACGTCACGTTTCTCACCGGAATCTCTTCGCTTCCTTGGATCCGGACCGGAACACGAACTCCTTGCCCATAGATTCCGCTGTAGTTGATGTTCTCAAGTATCGGGAAGGCCTTAGGGTTGAAACCCCCATCCGGGTGCTCGTTGTAATCTGTTTTGACGACGATTCCCACTCTTAGCTCGTCAAAGGTAACGTTTCGGTAGGTAATATCCCGAACATATCCACCTCGTCCTGGCGCGGTCTTAATCCGCACTCCTCGCCTCGAGCTCCAAATCAGAACGTTCTCTACCGTGATGTTAGAGACACCACCAGACATCTCGCTCCCTATCGATATTCCGGCACTGCAAACGCACGAAGAACGAGGAGGGTTTTAGTTATCATTACTCTTTTAGGATTTAAAACCTGAAGCGAGCGATAAGCTGCGTGAAATCATGATTGCTTGCACGAAATACGGCAACAGGCTTCTGGGTTTGTAGAAAGATGAGGTAAAGATAAGGGTGAGCACGGGTCGGGTTATCCGAGATTTCCGAATTATCGAATTCGAACATCTAGGGTCTCACGAGATATTACCTAAATTCAAACCCGTTTTGGTCTGGTACCCAAGTTAATTTTTGGGTACTATAGTACCCAAACCTGAGGTCCAAATTCGAAATTTCGAAAAATTTTAAAATAAGTATCATATAATAGGGGTTGGCTCCTATAAGTAACCGGGATTTTTGGGTTATCCGAACCAGAACTAAAATTTTGAGATATTTCAGTTTAGAACTCTAGGTTTATCTATCACATATAAAAACTAGGGATAAAAAAGGTAAATTTACTGGCTATCCGCTTGTAATACTCGTCTCGACTCAATTAACGAATCCGAAAATCCAATTTTCGGGATTTTCCTTATGACCAAAACCGATCCCATCTCATATAGTAGCTGGATATGGTTAAGTCGGGATACCCGGAATTCAGTTTTTTTACTTCAAGCCGTAGTAAAAGCAATTCTCACCTAACCATAGAGCGGAGAATCAGGTTGCGGATGAGTATGTTCTTTGAAGGTCGTCCATAGGTGACGCCATACTGATCCCAACCACTCTTTATCGCAATTCCGTCATCCCCGACACTAATATATGAATCCTCAATCACCATATCCTCGCACGAATCTGATAAAACACACAAAAAAAAGTTTCATAGCAAAAAACCAAATCGAAAACCGGATCAAACCCCAGATTCTATTCCCATCAGTAGGTTCGTAAATTGTATAGCTTTACAGCAAAGAGTTACTCCTCCAAATCCATCTTGAATATTTTATTTTCGGGTTATCGTTCATATCAATTTATTCCGATACTCATACTATCACTTACCGGGATCAATGCCATCGGTGTTCGGGGCTTCGAACACGGGAGCCAAAATGGTCATGTTCGTAATCGTGACGTTCTTGCAGTCATACGGATGAAGTGTCCAAAATGGAGAATCACGCAAAGTAATATTGGCGAAAATAATATCACTCGACCACATGATCTGAACCAATGGTCCCCTCGTGTGGTTGAGAAGCTTCTGCCGATACTTCTTCCACCATGTTTGTCCCTGCCCGTTGACGCTACCGTTATTGCCTGTTTGCCACGGAAAACCGGCCATCAATCAACAATTTACTTGTTAATGGCCAAGATTGCAAGTTCAAAGAAAAAGAGATTCCTTTCCCAGTTATTGTGGAGACGTTAACAAGAGGTGGGCACGGGTCGGGTATCCGAGATTTTTGAGATACCGAATCCGAACCCGAATGTCTCGGATCTCACAAGATATTACCGACTTTGGGTCCATTTTGACTGGATACCAGAAAGTTATCTGAGATAATTTTCAGATACTGTAGATCCTGAACCTGAGTCTAAATACAACATTTCTAACCTTTTCAGACTATATACCATATATTAGGAGTTCATTGGATCAGATATCCGAAACTTTTGGATCACCCGAAGCGGAGTCTGACAATCTCAGCGCATGCAATGATGAAATCCAACAAAAAAACGCCAAAGAGAGAATAAAGACCGACCTGTTATGACAACATCTTTGAGGTTCTGACCATGAATGAAACTCCCGTATCGAGGCCCGGGATGCTCCCTTCCATACCCATATGATGGCAATGGCGGAAGCAGAGGCCAATATTTCTCGTCCTAAGAACGTTCAATGCAACGAAAATCAGATCACATAAAAAATTCAAAAACCGAAACGAGCAAGAAGAAGAAAATGTCCAAGATCCAAGCATGAATTTGATCTATGCACGGGAAATGACAAATGCCTCGAGTCCCGTTAGAAACGAAAGCCATGCTTATGCAAGTAAATAATGGCTTCTAACATAGCAAATAATGAAGATATTTCGATTAAAAACCACCCATCATTAGTTTGTTGAATTGAACAGACTTCCAGATTACACCATTCAAATCTGTAAAAGGCACCATAGAATCATTGAATTTCATGGTTACTCGGTTATCGCCTTCAAGGTCGGACCAAAATGAATAGAAAAAGAGAAAATTTTCAAGAACAAGGAAATCAATGCCCTGAAGTAGAAAGAGAGCTTCAATTCAACTTTAGTTTAAACTCAGGCATAGATTTTGATGATTGAATAGAAATCAGAAATCAAACTTTAGTTTATCTAACTCGGAATCAAAAGGGAATACTTGCTTCAAGATACATAATAGTCAACATCTGAAGGTTATACGGATTCTTGATGGATCTGTTCTAAAGTTCATAACCATTTAGCAACTCGATCTTCTGCTTCAGTTTGCGTAACAATTGCTAACTCTAAACTCATCCCACTAAGCTGTCAAGACCCAACATGAAAGAGCATAGACTTTTCAATTCGAGAAAGATGAAGCCATGAGCTGGTAAAGATGCTAATAGCTACGAGAAAGGAACATCAATTCAAGAAAGTGGGCACTCTTAGAATTCATCTTCCACAGTGAAAATCATGAAATCATAGTTGAAATCATGAACTGGGAAAGATGCAAATACCCACGAGAATGAAACATCAATTCAAGCAAGTGGGCATTCTTGGAAGCATTGTCCAGAGTGAAAACCATGGAATCATGGATGAAACCAAACCATGAACTGGGCAAGATGCAAATACAAACTAGAAAGAAACATCAATTCAAGCAAGTGGGCATTCTTAGAATCATCTTCCAGAGTGAAAATCATGGAATCGTAGATGAAACCAAACCATGAACTGGGCAAGATGCAGATACACACAAGAAAGAAGCATCAATTCAAGCAAGTGGGTATTCTTAGAATCATCTTCCACAGTGAAAATCATGAATTCATGAACAGAAAAAACGAAAAACCAACCTGCACGGCAAGTATCTCAGCTTCCTCGGCGAGGAAAAGCGTCATGTGACTGGTTAGGTTAAACGGCGCCGTCAGCCATCGTCCCGGAGGCACGTTGAGCTGACCACCGCCTCTCCCTCCAAGCTTAGAGATCGCAGTAATGGCGCGCTCGAAGGCCTCGGTGTTCATCGTCACGCCATCGCCGACAGCCCCGAAGTCCGTCAGATTGAAGGACTTATGCCTCAGCCGCGGAAACCCACCGGCGGCTGCAGCGGTCGGCGTCCACCAGAGAACCGAGAACCCACCTCCGACGCGGCGGAGACCACCATCGCCGACAAGGCCACCGGATTGCCAGAGGAAGAGGGAAACGAAGGTGGCGATCCAGAAAACGGTGATGAGGGATTTGTGGGAGGAGACAAAGGAGGAGAAGAATCGCCTGGGTTCGATTCGGTGCGGGTGAAGGGGTTCTACCATTGTTGGATCAGATGCAGGAATTCGAGAAGAACATTGAAGGGCGATTTGAAATTTCAGATCTTTTTGAGCGAGAGAGAGATTAGGTGAGATGTTGTTCGTCGGAAACAGGTGAAAGGGATTTTGGATTTTGGCTATGTCGGGAGATTCCTAAATTCGATGGGGAAGAGTGAATTCAAAGGAAAGATTCTCTGTGTGTTAAAACTGACGTCTCAGAGAGCGACTGAGAGAGAAACTACGAGAGCACAACAATGGCGTCTCCGAGGAAATTTAAAACACTTTTCACACTGCGAATAAGTTTAATTTTTTTTATCCTAAATTTTTTTCTTTGTTCATAGTAACTCCTAAGGCTGAAATTATATTGGAAAAAAAAATGCAGTCAACAACAATAAACGAAGTGAAAGATAACAACATGACTGTTCAAGAGATAAAATAAAATAAAAATTAAGAACTCCATGCTTTAATTAAGTTATTTTAAATCATACAAATTTGGATCTATTATTGCAAATAATATATTATAAAGATATAAGGAAAATTAGGTGAACATGACCCATCGAAGCTCAACTAAAACAATATACAGTCAAACATCATATTGTATTATATATGTATGTATGTATGTATGTATGTGTGTGTGTAACAAATTATTTCGATTTTTTAATTAATAAAATTTCGAATCAAATTAAATTATATAAAAAATGAGAAATGTCCCTAAAAATTAAGTTTTATAAAATTTGGTTTAGTGAAAGTTCAATCCAAAACAAATTAGTCCGAAAATCGATTAAATCATTTAAAATAAAAAATAAACATGTAAAAATATAAATGTCCGACCCTTATTATACGCATATGGATGAAGATTCGGTCGGGCGACAATTTTGAATTTTTTTGCAAGTAGTTATCGAATTTCTACATCAATGCCTTATGAGTGATTACTAAGAAATTTAATCTTTAATTACTGTAACAAAGTCGTAAGCTTTTCTAACGTTTTTGTAGAGATAATTAATAGCTCCTAATATTTTACATATTCATCATTTCCATTTCTATATTCTACACATCGAATTAAATAAAATATATATACCGATATGTACCTTGAATAAAAAAAAAGCCAACATATTAAAATTTAATTTAAAACGAAGTAATAAGATGCTCGTTTTTTTTGGCAGAAAAAACAATTCTATATTTAAAAAAAACATGGGACTTATATACATGAGAAATTCGTTAATTAAAAGCAAATAAAACTACTATAAGGTTTTACATAATATATTTTGTTTCAAAAGGAAAAAAAAATGTAAAAATAAAATAAAATAAATTACTAAGAAACAATTTTGCTCTTCCTAATGAACATTCGAGTTTTCTTAGGAAACAAGAAACAAAATATTTAAAAACAAAAAGAATTTAACCATTTTCAAATTTGGTCCTTCTTGGTTAAACCGGAAAAAAAATTATGGGAGAAAACAAAAGTTGCCTTCCTATTTACGTAACCCATTTGTTCTCTTTCC